AATAATTTTGTATCAACTGTTTTTTCAAAGTAGCTTCTTTCAATGTGAACTCCTTTGTAGTTTTTCTGATCAACACTTTATGTGCTATTGAGCAGATCTGGTACGTCCACCAATATGATGCCGGTCTGATACTGCTGGACCAACTTCTATGGCATCATCTCTCTATGTTACCATACTTGCTGAACTGCTTATTTCACAGTGTGTGAATAATCAGTCCTTTTTGTGAATGAGCAACTCTACAGCATGTGTCCGGGCAGCAGGGTGATAAATACTTGTCGGCTTGTATCACTCGCAGGGTCATGTGAGAAAGGTCTAGACTCTGCAGACTGAGAAAATGGATGTGACACACTAAGATCATACGTGCAGTGTCTTCTTCATCCCACCAGTTTAAACAATACAGCAGTCGTGCTGACAGACAGGAAGCAGAAGTCAAAGCTCAAGCAAAGAGCAAAGCTTTAAGCACGGATTACGATGGCACTGTGGGTTAAAGCAGGAGGGAGAAAAGCGGAAGGCAGAGCCCAGGTCTAATTGCTTGCGTAGGCTGACACATCTGAATTTACGGGCTGCAGTGGAGCAGTGCCACTCATTTAAGACTCTTTATTTAAGAGCTAAGAAAAAAAACCACACACACATAACAGATATTTTGTTCACTTGTTTCATAATCTGTTTAAGTCTCCTCTTTTCACTTTGCTGTTGCTAAATTTGTCTTGCCTTGCTCAAACGTAAAAAGCCAAAATGACACCATTATTTTGACTAGACTGTTTTCCTCCCAGAGAGAGAGGCCAGAGGAAGTGTAGGTGACCTAGACTGGTTAACCACCACACAACCACGAGTTGGCTGGGGCACTGCCACCTCCGCAGCCACCCTCTGCATCCAGCCTGCCAGGTCCACATTACTACTACTACATGCCATGACCACAAGTGGCCCTGCTCCAGTTCTAGCGTCCCATTGGGTCCACGCTGGGTGCTTTCTCTCTCCTCATCGGTATAAACAGTCTGCAGTCTGGCCATCGACTGACACGAAGCTCATTTGGGTCGCATTTACAGGCCAGATGTGCATATGTTTGCATTTGGGTCTGTAACAACAGTTTGCACAGCGCTTGCTCTTCACTGCATGTGCACAGTTCTGCATGTGTGTGTTGTTTTTGTGCTCCTTTTTCTCCACGAATTGCAAAACCCAACCTCAAGCTCCTGTCTGGGAATGATCAGCTGAGAACTCGGTTGAGAGGCTGCAGTGAATGTTATTCTTGACCCATGAAAGGATATTAAAGTGTATCTCTGGCCAATCTAACAAGCTTTTTTACGATCCATTTAGAGGAGCATAACACAGAAACTTTAGGCTAGATCAAGTAAACATAAACTGCGCAATGCAGAGCCGCCTTTTGGGAAGATTTCTCACACGCTTCTGAAGCCATTTACTCGATGTTGTCATCTTTCTACTGCTGATTAGAAAACACAAATGCACTCGGCCACAGAGAATCAAGCCTCAGTTATGTGAGTTAAAACAAAAAGGGAGCACATGCCAAATCTCTTTTTTTCTCAATGTTTGGACCTGAGGTATTATTTGGGACAAAAGGTGCACTTTCAGCAGCTACAGTCACGTACACACACCACCCACTTCATTGGCTGTGATACACTGCCTGTGGTGTTTCGGACCATTTCTTGGTAGCAGCAACTCTCCACTCATGCTTTAGGACTGAGACATAACACAACACTCGGTTAGACCGTGAAAGTTTAGATCTGACAGTCAGCTACATTAAGTATTGTTACACTAATTCATTTTCTCTTAATTCTTATTGGTTACTGTTGAAGTCAGCAGGGTAAGCTTTAGGGAAAATCTGAACTTTCTAACCCTCTGACCACACCTTAAAAAAAAACCCTAACACAAAATATTTATTGCTAACCAGTCTTTTTAACCACAATTACAGTTCCAGACTCCCTCTTGGTGTCTTCTCTATTTGCTCCATGAAACAACTTTGAAACCAAAAAGCATCACTGTCAAATGAATTTGCATGTCATGTTGCATAACATTTTGCAGTAGAGGCTAACTGAAGTGCTGAATAAAAAGCTCTTGATTGCATGGAGGAGAAGCATAAAGTGATGAGTCACTTTTAAAAGAATAATAATCTCATATTTGCACATGGCGAGACACAGGGCCTGGTGGTGGTCTGCCTCTCTGCCGAACTTTCCATGTTTCTTCTTTGTGGTGATGATGCCGGTGGTGTTAGTCCCAGTCAAGACAGTGTCATACTTTCCTGCGCAGCTGCTGTGCTGAAGTTTTCCCTTGTGCATTACCCGGACTAACCAGCATCACGCCATTTCGTGATGCTTTTCAGCAGACTACAAACAGCTTTGAGACCACTTGCTCTTGTTTTTGCACTTTTCAATTATATAAAAGCTTTTTTTTAAGTCAGATTTTGCCCCAGTTTCACATTACAGATGTGCTGCATTTAAGTATTTGCACCTATTCCTTAACAAACTAGTGACAATAACACAAGCAACCAAGTCCCCCTCTCGTCTTTCAGTTTTTTCACAGACGAAAAGGACACAGATTTACTAAAATGTAACCCCCATCTTATTCAGCATGATGATGTCACATTTTCCACTAACAGCGCATGTTTTAGTTCAGGAAGATGACTAATTAACCAAATATATTATATTCTGACCATATCAGCAATTTGTGCAATACTTGGAAGTGCATGTGATGCTTTGTAATACCAAGATAGTTCCACAAAAACAGTGTTTAGACTAAAACATAGAACATTTCAAATACACATACGCTATAAGTTGGTGCTACCTAGGCTTGGTGAACTTATGTAAGAAAATCTTCACTGCTAATATCTTGGATTTGTGCTAAGTGGAGATCTTATAAGCATGGTATTTATCTGAGTGTGGCTAGTCTCAGTTTACAAGGTATGTCTATGCACAAACAGACACTTTGTGGTCAGACAACTGGCTGTTTGGGATGTGGGGAAAGAGGGGAAAAGAGGGAGCAAGGCAGGAGGTGAGGGGCACTGAGTGAAGCTGGGAGGAGTGTGTCTGGGTGTGGAGCTGTCATCCCACTGAGGGGAGTAGCTGTGGTGTTTTGATCAAAATCCAGAAGATGTGGGAGAGAAAAGAGGGGTGTGAGTAAATGAGGGAGAGAAAGAGGGAGAGTGTGAGAGAGCAAGAGAGAGAGAGAGAGAGAGAGAAATATTTCCACCCACCCAACAAGGAGACACACTCATAAACAGCAGGCAGACTGAGTGAGACTCAGAAAGACACAGAATCTCAGGGCAGCACCAGTTCAAACAGCGAGGCAGACAGAAACAGGGTTTCATTGAGAGAAGTTTTTATTAAAGAGCAGGAAAGGTCACACACTCAAACAGACACACACACTAATAAACACAGCGTACCACACAGACAGACAAGCGAGGACCGGCTAAACCCAAGAAACACAACCATTAGTCTTTTAGGGCTCAGTGTCTCTCCCCCCCCCGTCACACATACATACACCCACCGGTGCTGTTGCAGAGAGTCTGTGCTACCCATTGTGAGGAGCAGTGCTGATCGAGCCCAACAAGTGGAGCAACAGGGAGGAAGGAGCCAACGAGTGGATGGATGCCTTTTGCAGACTCAGTGGCCTGGACCCTCTGTGGGTGAGTTTATGATGTGTTCACTGACCCTGGAATCACATCGTATTACTGAGTGTGTGGCTTTTTCAGCCAAGGTCACTTTTAAACAGCATTCATTTAAAAAATGAGGTATGTCTTTATAATTCCTGCTTATTCCTGCAAAGATGTCTGTTAATTTCAGCTCGTAGTTGTCTATGAATTGCTAAATATGAAATATTTTTGTTATTTTGGCAGATTATATTATGAGTATTAGCATTTGTTTAGAGAAGTGTTGGTGTATAAACACACTGGTATAATTCTTGGTGAGACTCTCCTAAACATTTTTTTAATCTAATTATTTAAATGATCAGTGCCATTAGCATTAGCCAGATTAGCATTTTGTCCTTGGATACCTGTTGTTCATTGGGATTAGAAGGATTACTGGCACTAATAAATAAATCAGATGAGTAATACTAATTTTGTGTGTTTAGGGAGAAAACCCACATACATTGACCTTCTCAGTATTTGCAGCCAGTATTACTAATTCTAATCTAAAGCTTCTCTGAACGCCAGCCTTTACCTTTGATGAATACCACAGTTGTGTGTTTATTGTCATCCTGCGGCATAATTCATAACAACGAGATGCTGATTGGATGAAATGCACCACAGTGAGTCTGCTGCTCTAATTGGAAAAGGTTTTTAGTCTTGCATGTTTGCAAGACTCCACACTCTAAATCCCGGCTCTAAAATAAAAGGAACGGCCGTAATCCAACTGGAATGCCAGGATTATTAAATGCACTCATTCCCAACTTGACTTTTTCAACCCTCGTCCTTCCTCTTTAACTCGGTTTCTGGTTCTCGTTACTTCTCGTTCTCTGTTTCTGCTCCTGCAAAACCTCAAAACAACTGCCATCAAACACTGTTGGGAAAGTGAAAGCGTGTTACTGTATTTTGCGCAGCCCTCGCTGCCATGAAACCTCAAAACACAGATGTGCTGTTCTTACGGGATGTTTTAACAGATGTTTCTGTCTTCTGCTGGCCACAAATATCTATTGCTATTAACTACACGGACCTTTTTACATGTTTTGGAAATGACATCATTGCTGACTCACTGGTCACAGCCTTGGGGCAGCAATGCAGATTTATATGGATCTAAAACTGAAATTGTAACGTCCAGCTCAGCCATGTGTTCCAGCAACACCTGACCTGAAAGGTTTTAGGACAAATTTGAAAGGGGCCAATTTAGGAGCTAGGATTGTGTTTAGCGTCTTTCTTTTTAGATCAACCTAATCTATAATTTGAACAACAGGCCAAAGTGAGACAGACAGGGGAGTGATCAACGCTCCCTTAAATTACAGTCTCTATAGTTTATACACGTCACATACTCACAATAGGTAATCCTCTAACAGTTCCTCAAAACTCAAGGAGATTGCAACACGCTGAATTGGTTTCTGAAATAAAGGGGATGTAAAAAGCAACAATGAGCAGATTCAGAGGACAGTGAGTGTCTCTGTTCTCCACTCTCAAATCACTTTGTCAGGTAAAAATAGACACTATTGGCATCTACCGGACACCATTTCAGCCAAGGGTCAGAAACAAGCAAAAAGCACAAGAAAGAGCGCAGAGAGGCTTTGACGGGTTGGATGTCATCATAAAAGTGCGCTGCTCATCTACCTGCCACTGACCACAGAACTCAGACAGGTCTGTGAAAGTAGCCACCCACTCGCTCCTTCTCAAGCAGTTTTTCACTTAAATGGATTTTGATATGCCAAACCTCACAGAAGCCGCTGTTATACCATAGGTGCAAAATCATGCACTCGTTGCATAACCTTAACCAGATATGTAGTGAAGCTGTACGTGAGAATCAGACTTTTAAGGCGAGGCAGCCAAAGAAGTGTATCATTATAATTGCTAGCAACTGAAAGAGAAACTGAAGAGCCTGACAGTCAGATCATGATTCAGACCCATGTGGCAGTAAACAGTATTGACTGATGGTAAACTTGAATTAATCACAGCTGCCCAGGCATGTTACCAGAAACGACAGCGTCAGTCTGTCCAATGTCTCACCTGCCGGGCTTCACTCAAAAGCCTGTGTGTGGACAAACGGTTGTTACATAATAATTTGGCAGCTGCCACCAATTTTGGCCACTTTACCTTATCCCAGTTGGACTTCTACCAGCCGAGCCAGACATATGTGCCATGCTAGAAGCTTTAAAACCACTTCCTGTGGTGACTCCTCGGGGCAGTGTTGTTAGCACAGCCAGACACCCTGCCCCTCATTAGGGCAGCGAGGTGATAAACAAGGGAAGCTTGACAACAACAAGCCATTTAGCCCCAAGTATCTTTTTTTAACGATAGACAGACTATCTTGGTTGTGCTACTGTTACGTAATCTCAACATTTTGGCAGCATTTGCTCAACACACCTCGTCTGCACAAACTTTTATAGTTTATGGGCTTCATTATTACTGTAGTTCTTGACCTCATCGTTTGATTGGTTGACAGTTATATTGTCTTACTCAAATTGGGAAACAAGCCAGAGATGTGGTGAGGGGAAAAAAAATAAAACATTCAAATACTGACTCAGCTTTTTTGGCAAAGGAGGCCTTTTCCAGCTCGCACTCTCTCAGGACTGAGCACAGATACGTTTTCTGTTGACCTGCTGTGGTTTCGCTCTCACTGCATTGATGGATGAAACGTAGGACCTGCACCAAGTCGGGATTTTTGCCACTTGGTCCCGCCTGCTTAGTCTGTCAGATGATGAATATAATCGCACCGTTTGACCTCGGTTTCTGGCTTTTAAGCATATTCTTTCGATCTGAACTTTTGAACTTCTTGTTTTCTCTCTGCTGCAGGACTGGAACCGTACATGGTACACAGCCAACCCAGACCTAACCCAGTGTTTCCAGAACACAGTGCTGGTGTGGGTCCCCTGTATCTATCTGTGGTTGCTGGCCCCTTTCTACTGTCTTCATCTCTACTGCCATGACCGCGGACACATTCAAATGTCCTGTCTCTGCTCTGCCAAGATGGTGAGACATCATTTTAAATGCTGGCCAGTCTTCAGTTTATTGTTTACGTTTTTTAAGAAAAAAAGTCGAAACATTTGCTAGGTTTGTGTTGGGTTTTTTTGTTTTGTTTATTTTTGTTTTTAGCTTCTCGACTCATTCTCCTCTTACTCTCTGCTCTGTTCAGGTGTTGGGTTTCCTGCTGGCTTCATTTGGCTTTGTGGAGTTCTTCTACATCCTGTTGGAGAGGAGCCAGGATATCCAACACCACATGGTCTTTCTGCTCAGCCCTATTATTCGCAGCATGACTGTGGTAAATACTGTGGCTCTTTTTTCTCACACATGTACACATCTATCCAAATCAAACTCCAGTTGTTTTAATTTAATGTTTTATTGACCTGGAAAAGGTTACGCACACTTTAGAACTTGCATGACATTTGGAACATCAAGGATAGGAGCAAGGTGCGTTTATCAATTCCTTATTTAGCCAAAGCACTGCACTGTGTTCTTAGTGTTTGTACTAAGGGGGGAAACTACATGTCGTCAGAATGGGAGTGATAACATTAAGGCACAGTGTTGAAAACAAATCCTTTAAGAATAAAAAGGCAAGAGCTACAATGCAAGTTTTTAAACACAGTTATTAAACACAGACAACAACTTTAATATTACTGCAAAGCAATCATCTAATTGTGCATCAGCTGTCCATAATTTCTTTAAATAGATGCACCGTTGATTTGTAGATCTGACATTTGTTCTTCATTCAGAGTAGCTTTAGCTAACAGAGATGTTTGGGAAATATTTCAGCTTGTGTCCTGCTGGCTCACATGTCACTGTGCAAATATACAGTATGCTAGTCAAACACTGAGGCGCAAAGATGCAGAACTATAGCTAGATTTATGGTGTAGCAGGCAATGCAAATATCACAGTAACCTGCTTGTATTTGACAATCACTCATCGGTCTGCAAAGCACTTATATAATGGCATCACTTACTGTTTCATGTGGAGTCAATGTAACTGCATATGTACGTGCAAAGTTCCAATGCAATGAAAGTGTGACTGTTAGGTACTTTGGCAGTGGCCAAATAAACCAAATATAATGAATCAGATATTTTGTAGCCTGGATCCCTCTTTTACAAAATATCTACAACTGACACTGAAAAAAATGGGAATTGCTTCATGTTTCCATCTGTGATTTCCTCTCAGCTGAGCTCATGAGACACCAGAGGAAGTTCATCCCCTCTGACTTCCCCTTTCCCAGTTTGGACCCTTCCTCTTTAATTTTCTTGCTTCTGTGAGTCTACATGCGTTGTTTTTTACATTATGGATATAAAATCTGCAAGAATATGACTGAATATAATGTGTCAGAGTATATACCTTGGAAACAGTATACACTACATAATGAAAAAACACTGCATAAACCATCATATTTCTTATAGGTGATGATCTAGTGTATACTGTTTCCAAGGTATGTACTGTTTGTATCTGACACATCATCATGATGATTGGTCAATTATGTATTAGAATTCAAATGAGCTGCTTAGTGGCGAAGAACATTGACAATGGCATGGCTTCAATCCCAATTAAGTCCATATGACTGTCTTCCAACTTTGTGGTCTGTCTTTAAAACAAAAACACACAAATCCAGCAAATACAAAGGTGATGACACACAATTGTAGTCTGTGTTAACCCTAATTACACAGGAAGATTCGGTCTTTATATAGCCTACAGGTGTGCTGTTGGATTGGAAGTTTAGATGCCAGATGCTTCTCTGAGCACAATTCTTCTGACCACAACTGTATTTAAGTTCAATGGGTTCAACTGCAACGCCTTAGCAAAGAAGAAGAAAAGATAAAAGACAAAATAGCCCTCCGGATACCGTAGCAACAAGAATCCTCGGTTGGGTATAAACCAAACCCAAAATCCCAAAAAACCCAAAACAAAAAGCTCTGACTCAAATGTTTAGATCTGAATCAGTGCAAGACATATGCAGATGTACGTAGTCTGGAAGAGATCTTTAATCTTTACAAATGTTGTTTGTATCTTCCCTCAAAACATCTCGAAGCAAACCATACTGGCCTCCACGACCCAGATCACAGCGGTGTCTAGCGGTAGAAGGTTATTTATAGAAAATAAGGCCCAGCGTGCAATCAGAGAAATGTGTTAGCCTTTGTTGATAGAAAAGTCCCTGAATGTTTCTGAGAACATCGATCCCACTCATTTTCAGTACATCTTAAATGATACTTAACTTGGATGAGAAGGCAAAGGAGAAGAGGAGTACAGCTCAGCATGGGTGGCATGGCAAGTTTAAAATGCTGTTTATCCTGAGCAAGAGTGATAGAAAGTACAATGCTATGCAAGGGTGCAGAGCCCAGATGGGAAGGGTTCTGTGAGCTTATAAAGTTGTTGTATACGACCCACACAGTTTATGTACAAAGCTCTCTCTCTCTGTAGCCTCATACAGGTTCTGCTCAGTCTCACTCTCCAAGTCAGACAGCTTTACCCACCTGTGGTCTTTTCAGACTCTTGAGTAAATACCAGCACGTGTTTGTGTTAAAAATACACAGAGACGTCTCTTGTATCAAAAGGATACATCTCAAAAAAGGTCCCTTATTTGGAATATCTAATTTCTCACACCGGGGAAGAGGGTGGGGGGGCAGACAACAAACTCCTAAATCACATTAAGAACATGTCTCCAATCTTTTAATCTATGTGCCAGACTTATCTTTATTAAAGGATATAATTTTCTAGATGTTGATTCTAGCCACATACCACCAACCAGTCCCTGGGTGCGGGAAGGGAACACTGTGCTCTTGTTGCTCTGACCAGTTTGTTTTGTTGCCCTTCAACTCAAGTTAGTGTATGGGAACGCTTTCGCCCAAGTCAGTCAGCCCACGAATGAATCGTGGTCAGTACGGATGTAAAGTGCGCACATGACACCGGCTATAATCAGTAATGCCATGACGTAAAGCTCCTATTCCATCCCCAGCACTGCACACTTCCCATGTAATTATAAGGTCGGGGTTTGATTCAGGCCTAGTGATGAAGTTAGTTCCACCCACTGACTCCTACAAACAGATGGGCTTATGGTTTGCAGCAATATGGTGGCAAGACAGAGCGGAAAGCTAGGAATAAGAGCGACCTTCCTCTCGTACGCTGACCTAAGGCCAGTTTGATGTTAAGGTTTGGACTGGGGCTGATGTGATCTTATGTGTTTAGGAGCAAAAGAATTTTAAAAAAGAAGGTTTTTCCTATGGGCTTGGTACAGCACACTAACATAGAGTGTGCTTAATAGATATGGTGTTAAGTAGTCCCATAGTCTTACTTAACTCCTCCAGCAGTCAATTAGATGAACTGACTAATGGGTCAAATTAACCTATGAAATACATTCATTTATATTGATTCATCCCCAGTGTTAATCAACTAATTATTGCTAAACTGTAGCATTTTAGCATCTTTTAGCTAACTATTTTATCTTTATGATCACAAGCAATATCTAGTTTAACATAGTTTTGAATATTGTTCCCATATGCAGCAGAGGAAAATACTTCTAAAAGTGTATTAAATAACAGTTGAAGTTATTGACTTTTGTTCAATTTGTTCAATCTTTATATCATGTTGGGCTGTCCCACAAATCCATTTTTACCATTCACTGGCACTTTAATCTATTGTTATGTAACTGGAAGATTAACTGTGGCATAAAAATGTCCTATTTTTCTTAAATTTCATTTGACGATAATCTTAAATCTCTAAAGTGTTTAGTTGGCTAAGACCACAAAATTGAGTTAAGAGAGGGCTGGACTGGCACTGCTCAGGTGCGTGCAACCACAAGCATTAATAGGCTCAAAATCTTTTGCTAACAGCACTGCTATGCTATGTATATAAAGCAGTGAATGAATAAATCAGGCCAGTGTTGCTGATTTTATGTGCAGAAAACAAATATGCATTTAACACAGAATAAAATTCCATTGAAAACTATTAAAGAAGCTACTCAGTTAACTAAAGTATTGCTAATTAGAATAGCTTCGGTCCTAAAGCACACAAGATTCTTTGCCATTTGTGTGTTTTGAGTTGGCATGTTGTTCACATCCCCTCTTTACTGTATCTATGGCTTTCCCTCCAACTTCCCAAACACATTCAAGTCAGGTAGACCAGAGACTCTAAATTCCCCATATGTGTGACTGTAAGTGCGTGTCTATTTATATTCTCTCTCCCTGATGGGCTGGTGAGCATCAAATGTGTTGGGGAAAATGAATGAACAAATGAAATCAAATCAAATCAAATGTTTCATCATCACTGCAGCAAGAATATTGTTTATATTAGCACAAAGATATTCACTGGATTTACACAAAGTGCTTCAGGTTGTTGATGCAAAAAAAAAAGTTACATAACTGACAGACCAGCAGTTTATAACAGGACAGCACTGCGGCTCGTCCCGGGGTAACCAATGTGAGTGCTCATTATGAAACCTAAATCCGCTTTCTCCCCACTTGGTGATGAGCTGGCACGGTGAAGTGACGTCTCACTTGGCCAACCACTCGGTGAGGGACCAATTACAGAGGTTCACAAGCCGATGCGTGCCTCCTCTGAGCACAGACAGATAGCCAGCATGTCTAAACCAAATTAGTCTTTTTTTTCCTTGTTTGTTTGTTTGTTTTTTGGAGAAAACAGGAAAGTATATAGGACAGCGTGGCATGCGGCGTACATGTGTCATTTTTATAAAGAGAAAAAAGCCAAGTCATATTCGTGTCTGCAGCCAGGGAATTCCCAGAATCAGGGCTGCTTTTTTAAAACCATTGACCACATTACATTAGATCACATGAAATCTGTGCTCTGTGGAAAACACTCGCACTGACAGTTGCAGCTAATAGAAGAGAAAAAGGTTCTGTGGTTCCACGAGTGGCATCCGGTGACACATGCAGCCATTAAAAGATCGTCTGTCAGCATCCTCGGGTCATGCATTTGTTTTAGTAAGCAAGATAGCATTTGTTAATATTAACCAGGAAAAACTGCTTGTTGGCAGTTTTATTCCCCTGCATCAAGTGAAGGTTTTTCCATGAATTAAATGTCATGTAAAATGTTAACCGTAGTTAACTTCAACGTTTGTCAGCATTTTTTGCAATTTGTTTTGTTGTTATATGAAGTTTGCACTGCATTTGTTAGTGGATTGTGAAGTTATTGTACTGATTTCTAAGCTAGTTTAGCTCATTGTTGGTTAGGTGAGAAACGATGAGCATAAATATCACTTTCTTTGGATTTCTGCAGAATATCCGAATATTCAAATAACCTGAAGTCTTCATATAGACATAAATCCAGAGACATTTAGAGTCAAAAGAAAGCCTTTTGGAAGATCTCTGTTTTTAAATTTATAATGCAATCTATAGACACAATGCCAATTCGAAAGCAGTTGACATGACTGTACACAGACTATGAAAGTAATAAATCTGAGTTTCCCAGAGACTGAAAAACATTGTTGTGCTCTACAAAAGCTGATTCCTCCTGGTCCTTTTGTCCGTGAAGTCATTTCAGGCAGTATCAACGTGGCATCACAGACTGGAGTTTGGCTCTCTTCTCTCTCGTGCTCTCAGGGACAGAGTTGTTTCCTGTCCTGTGTTGCAAGAACCACACATGTTAACTGTTAAATTAAAGTCTTTCTGTCTCTCTTTCTAGATCCTGGCCATGTGCATCATCCAGTTGGAAAGAATAAGAGGCTGTCGTTCCTCTATATTCCTCTTCCTGTTCTGGGTCTTGGCAGTTGTTTGTGCTCTGGTGCCTCTAAGAGCAAAGATCCAGCTAGCCATGGATGAGGTATGTGGTTAGCCTGTTAATTAATATAAAAATAAATGTACCCTTTAATATAAACAATATCATCTTGCATCCAAAAAGACTGAAATCAAAAATAGGCTCATGCCAAAGTGAATTTGTTAGCGTGCCCAGTCTGAACTTTGTGAACCTGCCGTGTCTAAACACCGTGAAGAGGTATCTAATCAGCTGTGCTCCTACCCATAGTCTAGACGCGAGACTCCAGCAGCACAGCTTGAGCTGTACCCTGTGTCAGAAAAGAATTTCTATTCTATCCCCCAATTTTAACCAAGGTAGCCCAAAGTTAACACAATGTGTTGGAGGATGACACTGCCAATTCTGGTCAAGCCTGTGTGTGTTTAGGGTTTCCTTTTCTTCCTGTGTCTCCTGTCAAACACAGCAATCATTGTTGTATGGGGGTAGGTTTGTATTTTTGTTCACGCAGCCGTGGGGCAGTCGCATTTGCATTTCCATAAAAACACACACAAATCCATATTTCTGTTTTATCGTTTCTCAGTGTGACATTCCCATACTGTTTGGGGGAGAGTAATGATGGGCCTGGGATAAATGCTGGTGAGACATGGCAGCCCAGGGTCAGACCAGAGGAACGTCAGCGCTGTGTTTACGGGCCTACACTGCTGTAAACACAGCCAGATGGAAATCTATGCATTCACACATAATGTAAAGCTATATATGATTTACACGCAGATGTTTTCATTTCACACATGTGGACACGTGAACGGTGCACACATGAAACCACTCATAAATTCATTCTATATCCTCCATACCATATTTCTAGTTTATGATGAACCATATCTACATATTAAATTTGGTTAATCACTTTAGGCTTTTTACCACATCCTCTCCTCCAAAAACTGTTGTTGCTGCCAGCTAGAAGGTATTATACGTCAAGACTGGCATTTAAAGTTTCAGATTTGCAGGCAACTCCCCTAAAACTCATAAAACAAAGGAAGTTATAATTCCTGGTAGAGTAATTGGCTTAGTCTACCACAAAGACAGTAAACTGATTACAAAAATTAAATGTAATGTGTCAGCTACTGAGACAGATTTTGTTTTTATGCTAAATAGTGAAGCTAGGTATCAAGCATACAGCCACAAGAGATATCACTCCTCTCAACCAACTTGGGAAGGAAACTGAATGTGCTCTTTCCTAGAATGTACAAATATGAATTTAATACTCATGCAGTTGCAACAGAAGTAGTGAGGAATTTCCAGGATCCCATCGGTAAATAAAATTGGACTAGATCTCAGAAGTAAAACCAAAGAAAGGAAAGATTTAGGCAATGAATAGTGACGCTATAGATCTGTTTAACAGTTTCAAAATTGCAAACAAAATATTTTTAGTGTTTTTTTGACTGGTATATTTCAATGTCTGTAATTTTAAGTCGGTTCATTAATTAAAAATGCCATTTTGTTCCCAGTTATCCTGGCCGGTATTTGTTTTCTGAGGGTTTTACTATAGCGGTCATCACATCAGTACTGTTGCATGACAAAATACAAACAGTAAGACGTTTTCTTTTGCTGTGATGAGCTATAAAAGAAGCGGAGGCTGCACAGCTCAGCAGTTTTATTCAGTGTGGACTGTATATAGCGCTGAGATGTATTCTAAATGTTTACGAAGAATGTGTACATTTCAAATTGCAGCGTTGACAGCTCAAGTTGACGGAGTTCATGTTTGCGGACCCTTGGTCATTCTTAGCTGCATGACCTACATTTTTCCCACCCGCTCTCCGACCATCCTGACCCTGTTTTTCACAGTGTGGCCGGATCCGTTTGGCTTCTTCATATCGCCTTTCTGGGCATGGCACCACACTTTTCAGAGAAAATCATTTTACTGTTTACCATGGCTCCAACTCTTATGCATAGCCATACTGCTGCACATACACAGCACACAGCCTGTGGCAGTGGCTCTGACCCAGTTGTAAACAGAGCCTGTGCCAGAGCCCAAAGTTTCTATATGTCAAGAATAACATGCGAGTCCTACAATTCACAAAAGTCTCTGAGTGGTTAATATTGCAGCTGCTCCCTTGATTGAAAGTAAGTGTGCTGGTTTGTGAAACCACAATTTCCCTGTTTACAGATACGGGCTCTTAGCGTGACTGCGAGACAAATTTAACTGTTGTTTCATTTATAAAAAGCACACCATTAAAGACTCTGGGTTTTCACCCTGATTTGGCTTAAAGGTCCAAAATACTCTTTATTGTGTCTGTGATCCCGGTGCAGAAACCATCCTCCGCTATACGGCTTGCGCTCAAAGGAAAAGCTATATAAAAGCTATATAATGAATTTTGTGCTGTTGTGAAACTGCACACAAAACCACAGTGGTGACAAATGATCCATTGTACCACAGCCAGGATGTTGTGTGATTTGTTAAGTAATGTTGAAAGAGATGAAACAACCAAAATACATTTTGATCCAAATGAAAACCCTCGTCATGTCAGAGCGGTGTTATTTTTTTTTTTGTGGCACGAGCTCGGCCGCAAAGCCAATTAATTGTGTCCCTAGTTTAAAATAAATGTCTAAATTGCAAAACTTGCTTAAAACCAGTAAACTCAAAGAACTTTAACTGCAGCATTCTGACATTATCAGCTGCCTTTTCATTGCTTTTCCTATTTATTTATTCCACAGGGCATTGCTTCTGATATTGTACGATACCTCGCCTTCTTCTCCTACTTCACAATCCAGTTGGCCCAGCTATTCCTGTGCTGTTTTGCTGACCAGCCTCCAGAGGGAAAAATCATCTCAGAAAAGGTAGGCAGAGGAGAATGTAAACCGCTTCCGTCAAGAACATCCTCTATGATTACCTAGGAACGAAAAATGCCGGAGTGGCTGTCCTGTGGTTTTCCGCTTTTGTTGTGAAGACACTTTTTACTTTTGGAGGAAATGATGTGATTCACATCCTCCTTCCTTTCACTCTCACATGTCCACTTTGGCTTCCTGTGAGAGGAGTGTGAATGACTGTGTGTGTGTGTGCCTGTGTGTCTGCATACCTTCAGTACTGCTCACTCACTTTGTGAGATAACATCGAGACCACTGCTAAGAGTCTGTGACCGCACAACAGAAAAGCAATTACTTAATACAGATCTCACTACCCCATCAAACATGAGCTTGGTAAAACGTTGTTGAGCTCAGAATAATACGCTGATTAGGGGTAACTCACAGGTGAATGAAAATGAGCCTCTAACTTATCAAACAGACATATGATGTAATATTTCCGCAGTGGTAAACAATTGAAATAGCTGGAAAAGTCCCCTAAGAAAATGCTGGCAAGTAGCAAGGAGGTTGAGGGTGCAGAAGCCACAGTCTGGCGTGGTGGACACACCCATTTTCCTCCACCTCCTCCGTTGCTCTGCCGCACGCTCTGGTTAGAGTTACTCACAGGAAGAGAGGAAGAGGGGAGACAGAGAGTAAGAGCACTGGTAATGATGAGAGCAAACACCCCAGTGAGGGGGTGGCAGGGTGGAGGAGATGCCATAAAGTTTGCGTGACGGGACAAACTCTCTGTTTTTCTGCGTGTTTATCCACTTGTTATAGTTTGTGATGACACATTTCCACTCCGTCTGCAGCAGACCTCAAAACGTCATATTCACCCTGCGCTAACACTGAGCACTATTTGTGCTGTTCTGTGGGAGTTCGTGGCCTTTGCTCCTCAGACTGGACCACCTGAGTGTGCAGTGTTGTTTGTGCACATTAGCATTCTTAAACACAGCCCGCACAAGTGCACCATTCAACCATCAACCGACGGACTCTGTCAGGATGTGTATTTCTCAAAAACCCTCAAGTGGTGAGAGATTTACTGCGAAAACAACAGTGAGTCTGGTCTTTAATCTGTTGCAGAATCCCTGTCCTGTGAAAGATGCCTCTTTCCTGTCAAAGATCCTCTTCTGGTGGTTCACTGGGTAAGATGGTTCTTTAAAACCCTTTCATTTTTAGGCATCGGGTTGACTCACTGCAACAACAGTTTGTGCTTGTTTACAATAATATGTTTATTGTGTTTGAATCATTTCCCGTGTTTCTTCCTCAGACTTGTCGTAAAAGGATATCGCAACCCACTGGAAGCAGGGGATCTGTGGACGCTAAGGGAGGAAGACAGATCACAAAAGATCATCTCAGATCTGGAACAGGACTGGACAGCTGAATGTGCCAAACTTCAAAAGTGAGAATTATTTAAATTTGTTCAATTTTATTTGGTACTTTGGGTATTTACAGTGGTACTGCAATGCACTTTGCATATGCATCTGTATACCTCTCTAGTATGGCTGGGATTACGCTCCTTTAAGACACGTCTACAAACATCTGCAGACACCACAAACACATAATTGTTCTCATTATACTACTTTCTAGTCCACTTGGAGTCTGCTCGGGGGAAGCATGTGCAGTTGGTGGACAAGTCTGTGGGGTCACCGCAAATTGGAGGGTACAATAACAGCCGTGCTGAGTCTCACATACAGCTGCTGCTGATGAAACTTACATCATTCGTACCCTAGTGGACTCTCGTGTACTAGTGGATGCAAAATCTATAACAAAATCTGTTACAGTACTGGAACCAATAGCATTATTTTTGTGTCAACCTGATAAACAGTCATCTTTCAAGTCCTCAAACTGCAATTCTGACTTTCTGTTGAAAATTCTTATTTAAATCCTAACCTTAGGTAACCACGTCTTTATTGGGATCATCAGATTTATTTGTTAGATTTTAGAAAGCATCTGCTTTTACATAGTTCTCCACATCAGAAGCATGTAAAATGTCAGCATACTCCTTTAAAGAACCACATCTTCAGCTGTTTAATGTTTGATATGTATCAGGCAGCAGTTGGTGCATGAATCTGCAGCACAAAAGACAGGACACGACATGTGCAGGAAATGCACGTGTCTTGCTATTTTGACATAGGCCTGTGATCCCCTGTACTCCTCTCCTTATTGTCATAGCCAAAAATCAGTTCCATTTTATTGCAATGTGGTCAAACTTCAACATGGGGCTGGTCGAATTAATGACCCGAGCAGAGCAGAGCTGTAACTGTGGTAAATTAAAACTTGGGATGTCTCATCACCACAGGCATTTAGGGGTAAAAATAGGCCCAAAGAGAGTCATTTGAGGACAATACAATACCATAATGTCAAGACTAGAGACTCTGTGCCATTTCCAAGGCTTGTTAACACAATCCAGTGCTTTGAAAGCAGTTGTTAAGTCTAATAATTATTTCAGCAAATAATGCTTTTCTAAGCTGCCAACCAATTCAGCGATGGCACGAAAAACAAGTGCTTTTTTTAGAGTTTTACATTGGAGACTTGAAAGACAGCAGCATGTTGGTGCATCTCTAACATAGATGTCTGTAACTGTGACCATGTCTTTGCTTTTTTAGGCAGGAGAAAGCCTTAGCATCAGGTGTGGCGCTGGGAAGCCGACTGCCAGAGCAGGCTCAGCTCCTCAGGAAGTTGCAAAAGGAGCAAAGCTCTGGCTTCTTCCTCCTCAGAACACTGGCACGCAAATTCGGCCCGTACTTCCTGACTGGTACTCTGTGTATCATATTCCATGATGCATTCATGTTCGCCATCCCTCAGGTGCTAAGGTAAGAGTGCACCAGAACCTCAAATTCTGCTTTTATGAAAGACATGTGGCTTTAAGTAGATGTAGTGTGAGTTGCCAATATGTGCAAATATTAAGTGTATCTCAGCCAGTACCATGAGGCCCATGAGTATTTTTTTCCATTGCTGAAAATCCCTTAGATAGCAGTTCTCTCATTTATATAATCCACAAATGTTGTGACGATTTAGCATAAAGATAGAAATGAAGTAGTCTAGTCTGATAGAAAGAGGTTTACTTAGTGCAAGAAACTGTGCCGTTATATTTGGAATGAGATACTGTTGTTGAGTTCCCAAATATAGCTTTTTCACTGCTCAGTGTCCCACAAACCAAATGGCATTGAGTGTACTGTATTAAGGAAAGCTCCAGCCAGACCTTTCCAAACCTCAGCTCTGACTGAAATTACCTGGATGCACTGCAGACCAGGCTAGGGTAAAATAAAGTTTTATTGTTTTACTGCTGGGAAAATTCAAGAAACAGCAGACAAAAATACGACCGTCTAAAATATCTCTTTAAATATAGAGATAGACAGATAAATAGCGTTAAGGGATTTGGTGATTTATGACAACTGCCAAACAACAACAGAAGCTGGCAGCAGTGAAAACAGGTCATGGCCGACCCGCCACCCGCCTCACCATCCCACCAGTCAGACTGGAATGTTGTTGTTGATGCAAAGCACAGAAGCAGTGGAAGTGTTAATTACGGTCATAGAACTGTGAGCAAGAAAAGTAGATGAGACCACAGCCCTCTTTGCTCCAGTAAGGAGGACATGAAGAGAGAGAGAGGAGGCTCTAAATGGCAGAAATGCAGTTGGACCACAATAAGGGAGCCGCTGGCCAAGTGTGAGGGCAGCCTGGCCACAAGCTGAGCTCTGTTGTGCAACCTAGGCTACTTTGTGACGGCCAGTCAGCCAGCAGCCACAGCAGCGCTCAAGGACATTGGCAAAAGCACACGAAAAGAGTCAGATAATACCAGATTGAATCTGTAAAAAGAGTAAAAACCTGTCTGTGCCTGTTTTGCTTTGCATCATTCGCAACTTTCCAGGAAAGATATAGAAACAGATCCTCAATACAGAGGTTGAAGACAAAATTGATCATGTGCAACCATCTGAAACATTGCGATTAAGTATCTCTTTGTCCTCCTCCATAGTCTTCTGCTGGATTTCATGAGAGATGAAGATGCACCACTGTGGAAGGGCTATTTCTACGCCACGCTAATGTTCCTCCTCTCTTGCCTTCAGTCCCTCTTCAACCATCAGTACATGTATACTTGCTTCACAGTGGGAATGAGGGTGAAGACAGCTGTCATGGGCTTGGTTTACAGGAAGGTGAGTCACTCTATATCTACGGACATGAAGCCACCAACCGAGACAGACACAAGTGGCACAAACAAAAACCTTATCTTCTTCCAGATTGGAGTATGTGATTAGCAGTTTTACCTAAGATGAATGATTGCGTGAAATCTTTACGAGGATATTAAATTACACTGTAAACAACGCTGTCTCTTTTGTTGGCAATCCAGTCTTTGGTGATAAACAGCTCTGCCAGAAGGACTTGCACTGTGGGCGAGATTGTGAATCTGGTTTCAGCAGACACTCAGAAGCTCATGGACTTTGTGGTGTACTTTAATGCTGTGTGGCTGGCTCCGATTGAGATTGCGCTTTGTCTCTTCTTCCTCTGGCAGGTATGTTGAAATGCAGTGTTTTTACAAAGCATCCAATTCATGCACAAATGAGGCCCAACAGAGTAAGAGAAAAAAAAACAAACCTTGAAACAATCATATCCTTTCTCCTTTTCTCAGCAACTTGGCCCGTCAGCTCTGGCAGGAATTGCCACTGTCATTCTCATTTTTCCACTCAATGGATTCATTGCAAAGAAAAGAAGCAAGCTGCAGGTAAAAGCTGTTACAGGAATTCTTCACACTTTCGTTCCAGTAGTCCAGACATCTGGCACGTCAGGTCAGGGATACCACAGCTGGTTTAGATAGTGACTGAAGAGCTGTGTGGGTGTTTGGCCTGGATGGTGCATTCTCCCTTGTCCTTTTGATGTCTGGTCCATATAACATGCTTGAAAAACAATGACAGGAAAGGGTGGGCAGTAGAAAGGCATAATTTTTCATTTCTTTGGAAAGACAACAGAGGCTTCTGTAAATTTGGATGCCAGTTTAATCGAACTTAGTCTTGAATGCAGTGACCGCATTCCTGGCTCTTTGTTGTTTCCTTGTTATAAAATTCACAAAAATGTAACAAGCAATAAATTCTTACTGAATTAAACAAGTTCTGTGATGTTCGAGAAAACTACTACAGCTGTAATAAGGGGAGTCAAACCCATGTTCACAAATGCATGAATCCTGTGGTCTGCTAATTGTCTATCCACTGTGCTTCAGTTCCAGCTTTCCATGCGGTCTTTTTCAAACAATACTGAGTAAAAACCCCTGTGTCTGGTCAACAGGAGATTCAAATGAAGTTCATGGATGGCCGTATCAGACTGATGAATGAGATCTTGAATGGGATAAAAATCTTGAAGTTTTATGCCTGGGAGAAGGCCTTCCTGGAGCAGGTTTTGGGCTACAGAGAAAAGGAGCTCAAGGCTCTGAAGAAGTCTCAAATTCTCTACTCCATCTCCATCGCATCCTTTAACTCCTCTTCTTTCTTGGTGAGAACAATCATTTGATAGACATTCCAATACAG